CCATACAAATTATATCAACTGCACTATTCTCATCTACAAATCTAGTCACCTTTTTGAAAAACTCAGCCAGATTTGTTAGGCGTGACCTCCCCTCTGACAAAGCCATGTTGACTGTTCCTGATCTAACTTCTCTAAATAGAGATTAATTGTCTCCTTCAGAATTTTCTCCATAGTTCTCCACCGCTATTGGTTGCATGTCAGTACTTGTGGGTAACCATACTTGAATGTATTAATTTTTTCACAAGTTTTGTGAGAAGGAGCTCTGTAATACCGTAATCGTTGAAATATGTAGGTGTAATTATTTAGTGTTTTATATCAGGATTTAGTTTTGTGCCATTATTTACAGTGGGTTTCCAGAGAGTGTGTGGGTGCATACATCAAATTTCTGTGTATATTTATAGTGGGTTTCTGTCAGTGTATCATTGTTTACAATGCATTTCTATTAATGCCAGTATTTATATTACGATTCTGGGAGTATGTTGGTATATACATCAAGGTCTTTTTGAGTGTGTCAGTTTTAAAATTTATTTCTATTTGTGCTAGTATTTACATTTCGGTTGGGCGTATGTGGATATTTATAATAACTTTCTTTGAATGTGTCAGTATTTACAACGTATTTCTATTTGTGCCAGTATTTACAGAAGGAATTTAGGAGTATGTTGTTATTTACAAAATCCTTCTTTGAGTATTCAGTATTTACAGGAAGGATCTGCGAGAATGTCAGTATTTGCAGAGGAATTGTTTAAAATAAAAGTGATTTTAACAGGACGTTGACTGTAATCATTATGTTAGTATTTGAAGACGTGCCCAGGTTTCTGTCAGTCTAACTAGCTTGGGTTTAAGCGGATTTGGGTCTTTGTACTGAGTGCCTGGAGGCTCGGCAGACATTGTTTCACATATTAGTGTAAGCGTGTCAGTAAGAGCTGTTATGATCTGTAGGCAGGGTTGAGGAACAACACCTATTTACAACAACTGCCCATGATAATGTGAGGATCCACAGGTGGCTCCTAGAAAATATGTTTATTGATAATGGGCTTTCTCACACACAGAAAAGACTAACAAGCAAACTGGGAACTGATTTTATGGTTATCAAATTGGCTTTATACATAGCAAAGTCCTGGGTTCAATATCCAAAGAAACTAGTTATTTAATAAGGGTTACAGAAGGATATTTGAAATATCCAGCAGGTTGTTAAAGATACAGACCAGCTTTGAGCCAGGGCATTATAAGGGATAAGAGTGGAAAAAGACGAGGTTGAATAAGACATAGACACTATAAGATATAGGAGCAGAATTAGGTCATTCAGTGCATTGAGTCTGGGCCACCATTCGATAATGGCCGATATATTTCTGAACTCCATTCTCCTGCCTTCTCCCCGTATCCCTTGGTCCCCTTACTAATCACCACCAAACTCTGTCTTAAAGACACTCAATGACGTCATAGAATCCTTCGTGTAGAAGCAGGCCATTTGCTCCACCGGGTCCACACCGACCCTCCGAAGAGCATCCCAACCAAACTCACCCCCTACCCTATCCCTGCATTTCCTACCCTAGACATTATGGACAATTTAGCAAGGCCAATCCACATCTTTGGACTGTGGGAGGAAACCGGAGCACCAGGACGAAATCCATGCACACACAGGGAAAATGTGCAAACTCCACACAGATAGTTACCCAAGGCTGGAATCAAACCCAGGTCCGTGGCACTGTGAGGCAGCAGTGCTAACCACTGGACCACTTTGCCTCCACAACCCTCTGTATCCTTGAGTTCCATACATTAGCCACCTGCTGGCTGAAGAAATTCCTTATCTCAGTTCTAAAGGGTCATCCCTTTTCTCTGAGGCTATACTCTTGGGTCCTCATCTCTCCTACTAGTGAAAACAACTTCTCCACGTCCACTCTATCTAGACCTCTTGGTATTCTGTAAATTTCAATGAAATCCTGCTTCATTCTTCTAAACTCCAGTGAGTACAGACCCAGAGTCCTCAACTACTCCACATATGACAAGCCCTTCATTCCTAGGATTATTATTGCAAATCTTGTCTGGAACCCCTTCAATGCCAGCAAATCCTTCCTTAGATTAGGGCCTAAAACTGCTCACAATACTCCAAATCCTGTCGACCAGATGCTTATACATCATTGTACAGCGTCAACAGTACACCCCTGCTTTAGTATTCCAGCCCTCTTGAAATGAATGCTAGCATTGCATTAGACTTCCTAACTGCCAACTGAACCTGCACGTTAACTTTAAGCGAATCCTGAAACAGGACTCAAAGGCAGGGCTCCTAAAGTGGGGCTCATCAGCTCCGATGACTTTTCTTTTGTCTTTTCTCACTATTTCCTTTTTTTTTTAGATCTTTTTTTCTCTCTACTGACCTTCTGGAGGGAGCTCGATTGTGGAGGCAGCAGCGGCAAAGACGGTGGCTGGGGGCCCAGAGTGGGACTCTGGTGGCCTGTGGTGAGGCGGCTGATGAGCCCCGATGGCGGTCAGTGGCAAGGCAGCAGTGCAGAGGCGACGGGATCGAGAGATTGAGCCCAGTGCGGGAGGGAGAGGATGGTGGTCGGTAGCAAGTGCGCAACATGGAGATCGAGCCCAGTGCAGGGAATGCTCAGCGTGGAACGAGTGCAGGCCCATGGCTAAAGGAGGAACGTAACCTGAAACGTTTATTTCTTATTTACTACTATATAATGAGAGGAACTGTAATGTTGAACTTTTACTTCATTTCTATATTTTTCCACTTTTTAATCTAAGATTTTGTACCTTGGTTTCTTGTACCTAAGATGGCACCATGAATGGCCACATTGTAAACTTTTCACTGTACTCCTGTATCCCTGCACTTGAGTACACGTGATAATAAAACCTAATTCTAATTCTAAGTCCCTTTTGTGCTTCAGATTTATGAAGCCTTTCCCTGTTTAGAAAATAGCCTACATCTCTATTCTTCCTCCAAAACAGCAAAACCTCACACTTTCCCACATCATATTCGATCTGCCACTACTTTGCCCACTCGTCTAGCAGGTCCAGTTCCTTCTGCAGCCTTCCCACTTCCTCAACACTACCTGTGCCTCCACAAATCTTTGTGTCATCTGCAAATTTAGCAACAATATCCTCAGTTCCTTCATCCAGATTGCTAATGCATAATGTATAGTTGTGGTCCCAACACTGAACCCTGCAGAATTCCACAAGTCACTCACTGCCATCCTGAAAAAGACCACTTTATCGCCACCCACTGCCTTCTGCCAGTCAGCCAATCCTCCATCCATGTCAGTACCTTGCCCCCGACACCATGGGTTCTTATCTTATTTTTATTTCTTTATTCATTCACGGGATGAGGACATCACTGGCCAGGCAGCATTTATTGTCCATCCCTAATTGCCCAGAGGGCACTTAAGAGTCAAACACGTTGTTGTGGACCTCGAGTCACATGTAGGCCAGACCAGGTAAGGATGGCAGTTTCCTACCCCAAAGGACATTAGTGAACCAGGTGGGTTTTTACCAACAATCGACAGTGGATTTATGGTCATCGTTAGATTCTTAATTCCAGATACTTATTGAATTCAAATTCCACCATCTGCCGTGGCGGGATTCGAACCGAGTCCCCAGAATTTAGCAGCCTCTTGTGCAGCACCTTGTCAAATGCCTTCAGGAATTTCAAACAGACCAGGTCCACTGGCTCTCCTTTGTTTAACTTGTTCGTTATCCTCTCAAAGAATTCCAACTGATTCGTTAGGCATGACCTCTTCTTAACGAAGCTGTGTTCACACAGCCCTATTTTACCATGCACTTCCAAGTACTCTGCAATCTCACTTTTATAACAGACTCTAAAAATTTAAGCCAAGACCAAGGTCAGCCTTACCAGCCTACTTTCCTTACCAGCCTAGTTTCCTGCCTGCCTCCATTCTTCAATGGGATGTTACATTAGCCATTTTCCAGTGCTCTGGGGCCCTGCCTGCCTCCAGTAATTCCTGAAAAGATCCCCACCAATGCCTGAATAACGGAGGTATTAGCCTCCATGAGCAAAATGGGAAGGTGTTAGAATAAAAGAAGCTGGAAAACGTAGCAAATCAGTCAGCACCTGTGGACAAAACAATGCTTCAGGCCGATAACTTTTTTTAAGAACATCTAGAGATGTGGTGGTGGTGGGAGAGGAATGTCAAAGGACAGGGACTGAGAACACAAGAGCACAAGATATAAGAGCAGAAGTCGGCCACTCAGTCTATCAAGTCTGTTCTGTCATTCAATGAGATCAAAGCTCTGATTGTTCTCAATGCCACTTTCCTGCCTTTTCCCCATAACCCTTGACTCCTTTCTGATTAAAAATCTGTTTTTCCCAACCCTGAGTATATTTTCCAACCAAGCTCAACAGCCCTCTGCGGTAATAATTTCCACAGAGTCACTATTCTTTGAGAAAATAAATTCCTCCTTACCTCTGTCTTAAATATTCAACCCCTTAATCTGGTCCTAGACTATCCCACAAGGGGAAACTACCTTTTTGCATCTACCTGTCAAGTACCCTCAAGAATTCTGCATGTTCCAATAACACCAGTGGGAATGAAATGATTAAAGATTTCATAGTGCAACAGGCAAAAAGATTAGTAATGGAGATAGTGAAGAAATAAAGGTGGTGCCCAAATGAGGCATGAGTTGCTATCTAAGCATATGTCTGTAATATGAAGAGATAGAAACAAGATAAGGAACAACCCAGTAAAACAGAGGAGAAAGAGTAAGAGAGAGCAAACAAAATAGAGTCAGAGGTTATGTGCTAAAGTTGTAAAACTCAATGTTGGGTTCTGAGATTCTCCATTGACTTGATGGGCTGAATGGCCTACTCCTGTTCCAACAACTTACAGTCTTGAATGAGTTGAAAGAGAAGTTGTTTAAAGAACAACTTCAGGGCTAAATGAAAACAGAAAATGCTGCGGAAATACAGCAGTTCTGGCAGCATTGGTGGAGTGAGAAAGAGTTAATGTTTTGAGTCTGATATAACTGTTTATACACAGGGGTCTTGCTTTGGCCTCTGCGCGGACACTGGAAGGGATTTGGGTGAAGATGGAGGCATGGAAGAAATGGTGATGGGACAAGAAAAGCTGCTGTCCTGGGGTAAAAAACCTGGGGTAAACAATTAAAGCATTGCCGATTGCTGTGTCATATACTTTCTATTACTCTCCGATTGTTCCACTTATGATTCTGAAAAAGGGTCTCTGAATTTGAAACGTTAATTCTGGTTTTGCATCACAGATAGAGGCAACATGGTGGCTCAGTGGTTAGCATTGCTGCCTCAAAGCGCCAGAGACCCCGGTTTGATTCCACCCTCAGGTGACTGTCTGTGTGGAGTTTCCACATTATCCCTGTGTCGGCGTGGGCTTCCTCCAGATTCCTCCCACAGTCCAAAGATGTGCAGGTTCGGTGGATTGGCCAGGGGAAATGCAAGGTTACAGAGATGGGGTAGGATGGTTTTCAGAGGGTTGGTGTGGACTCATATGGGCTAAATGGCCTTCTTCCACTCTGTAGGGATTCAATGCTCACAGATGTGCCAAGTTTCTCCAGTAATTTCTGTTTTTGTTTGCTCCACTTATGGACCTCTGTTGAATTGCTTTTCTCATTCATTCATGGGACATGGACACCACTGGCTGGGAAAGCATATATTGTCCATCCATAGTTGCTCTTGGGTTCGTGGTGATGAACTGCCTTCTTTAATTGCTGCAGTCCATGTGCTGTAAGCAGATAATTCTGTTGCTGGCAGAAGCGTGGCAGGGGGGTGGTATTTGAGGATTTTGATCCAGAGACAGTGAAGGAACAATGGTGGTGCTCAGGGGAGGCAATGGCCTAGTAGTACTATCACTGGACTGTTAATCCAGAGGCCCAGATAACATTCTGGGAACCTGAGTTTGAATCTCACCACAGCAGATGGTGGAATTTGAATTCAATAAATATCTGGAATTAAGAATCTAGTGATGACCATGAATCCATTGTCGATTGGGAAAAACCATTTGGTTCAGTAATGTCCTTTAGGGAAGGAAACTGCCATCCTTACCAAGTCTGGGCTACATGTGACTCCAGACCCACAGCTCTCTGGGCAATAAATGCTGGCCTAGCCCTCATCCTGTGAACGAATAAAGAAAAATATCTGGCGCCCTTGTCATTCTAGGCACTGGAGAATGAAGATTTGGAAGATGCTGTCAACAGAACCTTGGGTTGTTGCTGCAGGGCATCACTAACACCACAGCATGCCTCCTTCCAAGTCCTTTCACTATAATCTCCTACCGTCACTCTCTCTTTAACCTCATGCTTTTCCCTTGTGCTGAATACCCTTTTACTTTCTGATTCGTCACTGTTCAGATTTGGATCTTGAGTGGGGAGGGGCTTGGTGTGGACAAAATAGTGTCCAGTGAACGTAGAAGATTTGAACGTTTACTTGGATGCTCCTGTCTAATGACCTCTGGCGAATTTCTACATTTTGAGAGTTGCTGTTCCACTCCAAACCTCTATGTGGTGTTTCTACCCCGCAAGCCGATTCCTCCGCCTCCCACTAGGGGCGATACCGGCCAGCCGAGCATCCTCCTCATGTTTCAGAGATAGTAGGAACTGCAGATGCTGGAGAATCTGAGATAACAAGGTGTGGAGCTGGATGAACACAGCAGGCCAAGCAGCATCAGAGGAGGAGGAGGAGGAGGAAAGCTGACATTTCGGGCCTAGACCCTTCTTCATTTTCTGCTTTCAGCAGGCCTTCCTGCTCCTCTGATGCTGCTTGGCCTGCTGTGTTCATCCAGCTCCACACCTGGTTATCTCACATCCTCCTGATGTTATGGATGTAGCTGGCCACTAGGGGGAAGGAGCAATCCCGGACAAACGAATCAGAATTAAGATCAGCCTGCGGAACCGGCCAATCATGTCCTAACGTGGGTGGGACCCAAGCCCGCTCCACCCAAATTGAGCGGCCCACTTTCTCAACGAAAGGCTGATAACAATAAACAATACAAAATAAAACAGCGCAAGACCATCTCATGAAACAATACCAACAATTTCAACCTTTACTTTCCACCAGCAAATCAAGCCACTGAGTGATTAAAATTTACGAATAATAAAAAACCTATCCAAACGAACGATCCCACCATGTATCAACCACCTCCTCGCACGACAACGTCCATTGATAATGGCGGATGGCTGGAAAAGTGGGCAGGGCCACGCAGGAGGCGGGGCCGCAGCCGCGCTTCTTAATTGGTTCGCACGAAACAAAAACAGACCCACCTCCCTCCTGTTTGCTGTCCATGATTGATGTTTCCCATGTCCAATCAGAACGAGGGGCGGTCCACATCCGCCAACCCCCCCTCCCGGAGTAACAGACGGATTGACCAATGGAGTGACGGGCGTGGCGTCCTTTGATGGACGGTCTGTCTAACCAACCGAAATGCGAGACCTTCACTACCGGCCCGCCCACAGATGATCGACGTCCAAACTGACCAATGTAACAAAAGTAAACGGGGCATCGGTGTAGACTGTCCAATCGAAGCTGGGAGGAGGCGGGAGGACCTACTTTGCTATCTCTCCCCGGGCTGGTGCGGGCGCTCGAGCTGGGGAGTCCGTTTGTGCTCGTGCACGGTCGTCTGCCTGCTGCTGAGAGAGAGATACATACATACATAAGAGAAAGGGTTTTTAAACGTGGCCGACGAGAGGTAAATCCTTAAGGCTGCTTGAATTGTTCTGCGATGGTGGGTGTTTGGGAGGCGGGGGAGGTTATAAGCACGTTTAGTATTATTCTTTCCTAAGTGAGGTTGTTCCCATTCCCCCCCCCCCCAAACCCAACTCGGTGTTGCTGCTCATTAGAGATTAAATGATCTCCCCCCTTCGGCCCCCTCTTTTCCCGGGGGTATATTGTCGCCCGTAATGGGAAGCTACTCCCCCCACACCATGCCCTACCCACCCCCCCACACCAACTCTTGCCCCAAAGCAACCCTCCCCCTTCCATCCCCCAGCCACCAACACGCCAATTCCGCCCCCACACTAATCCTTCCACACCAAGGCCCTCTGTGCCACACCACCCAACTTCCCCTCCCATACTAACCCTCTCTGTGTCCCCCCCCACATTAACTCTCTTCCCAAAGCAACCCTCTCCCTTCCATCCCCCAGCACCACCATCTCCCCCCGGCCCCCGCCACCGCCACACCAAGGCCCTCTGTCCCACATCAACACCCTCCTCTCTTGCACCAACCTTGTACTCCCCCTCCCACAACAATCCCCTGCCATACCAACTGACTCACCCCTCCCACACAGTACTCCCACACCAAACCCCCCCCTCCCTACAACAAACTCCCTCTGCACCCCCTCCCCATACCAACCTCCTCTGACCCCCCCATCCCAATGCCACTCTCCCCACCCTCCCACACCAACTTCCCTCTACCATCCCCACACCAATCTCCCCCACCACACCAACCCTTTCCGTTCGCCTTTCACACCTACCCTCCTCCCTTCCTCTCCCACTTGGCAAACCACTCTTACCCCCACATCCACCAATCTCTCCTTCTTCCCATCCACCCCACATGTCTCACCACCCCCACTGCTCTCTCTTCCCCCAACCACCCTCACGCTTCCCTTGTTGTTTTCGTCCTTCTCCTTTCCTTCTAACCTCTACTCACCATGGAACGTATGTACACCACCTCCTGTGCATACACATTCTGGACCCACCCCCCTCACCCTGCCAAAAACATACACACACAGCTAAAATCCGAGTGCGGTATTTATTTGGCTCCGTACAGCACGTGGCTGTGTGCTCAATTTTGTGTTTTCATCTGTCAAAGTATGTATGTATATTTAGAAACTTATCTTTTTGTTGTATTTGGTTCTTGAAACTACCTCTGTAGGAAAGTATGACAGGATGTGGATACTTTGTGCCACTTTTATGTTATAAATTATTCGTTGATTACAGTTTGTTCATATGCTTGTGTATTGTATCTGCGGGTCCTGTCCAGTTTTTGGTAGGATTGCTGTCTCTTACATGTTTGAACATCAGTTTTTTTTTATTGGAAACCAAATTCTGATGTCCACAGCAAGGGCACTCAACATTTTGCTGTGTGTGGTGCTATTACAGTGCAAGTTTGGATGTATTAACAGTGGCAGCTTACAGTTCGACATCCATGCCGACCCCATTGACAGCAGCCGAACTATTTCAACATAAAAACCTTCTGGCCTGGCATAACCTTCATTCCTAACAACCATACAGTCAGATGAACCATGTGAATTGAATGAAGAATGTGCAGCTTTACACTTGCTTTTGCACTATGTATCTAAAAATTAGAGCCAACCAAATAAAACAATGACATAGGATTATAAGCATGCTGAACAGTGGAAGTAGTATATGAGGGACAGGAGCTCTCGATTTTCAGATCCGAAGAATCAGCTTGAAGCTCTGCATGCACGGATCATCCATCAAAAAGATAAAGAAGCAACGGATAGTAGGTGATGGGCCCATGGACATCTGCATCCCCAGTGATCGTTAAATCCAGCAAGAGTGCAGAAGACATATGAGCAAATGAATTAGGAGCAGAAGTAGGCCATTCAGTCGTTGGAGCCTGCTCCACTATTCAGTACAATCATGGCTGATCTGTTTGCATTCAGAATGCACATTCCCATCTAACCCCCCAACTCCCCACCCCCTCACCCCGATAATCTTTGATTACTTTGTCCAGCAAGAATCAAGTACCACTGCCTTAAAAATATTCAATGATGCCATAAATGGGGGAGGCGATGGCCTTAGTGGTATTATTGCTGGACTGTTAATCCAGGGAACCAAATAACGTTCTGGCGACCTGGGTTTGAATCCCACCATGACAGATGGTGGTATTTGAATTCAATAAGTATCTGGAATTAAGAATCCAATGATGACTGTGAATCCATTTTCGATTGTTGGAAAAACCCATCTGGTTTACTAATGTCCTTTTGGGAAGGAAACAGCCATCCTTACCTGGTCTGGCCTATATGTCCAGAGTCCTGCTCCAGGATCACCAACTGCTTTGCTGCTGTAACACCAGGTCCCACTCTGGGCTCACGAGCTGCCTCTCCATCATTTGACAGAGTCCCACTCCAGGTTTATCAGCTGCTGCCATGTTCCAGACTCCGAAAGTGATGCCTT